CAGGCAAACCTCTTCCGTGTTATGTGTGCTGCCTCTGTCTCTCTCCTTCTATGCCTTCTTCAGCATACTGCTTTCACAACTGCAAGTCCAGTCTTCAACTATGTTTACACAGGCTTCAAGTGGAAAAAGTACAACCAGATCTAGTACAGTTTTAACAAGCTGCCACCCAATATCATGCAGGGCTACAAGTTCAACATCTTCTACCCAGACCTTGATAAGCATTCAACATCAGAGTACTTCCTGGAGGACTGTCCAAACAACAAAGACTTTGCCATCTTGTGTCTCCATGCAGGTCCACCCTACAAGGACATGCCTTTAAATTCATCAACTGCAAGCAGGAGTACTCCCACTGTCACAGCTTCTGCTGTCAGCTCACCAGTGGCATCTTCAAGCTCTGATTCCACTTCAAGCACTACCACTACCAGCAGTGATAGACCTCTGGAGGGATGGCTAGATCCATAGAATTCTAGAACAAGGTCATGCTTTCTGCAATTGAAAACTATCTGTCATTTGAAAAGCAGCTCTTGACATGCTACTAAGCCTCCAATGCCTGAACACGCCAAGTGAATATGTGACCAGAGCTGCCCATCACGAGCTGGGTATTGTTATATTTACCAAGTGTAACATCAGGTGGGTTCAGCAGCAATCCATTATACAATGAAAGTGGGACATTTGGGATCAGATCTGAGCAAGTCCAGAAGCTAGTTACATAGAGAAGTCATCACTTACCTCTGCTATACTGAGGCATCTCTCTCAATTCATACCTTTGGCCTTTTGGGTATGACTAGTTGACAGAGGAGAAAAAATCTTGGGCCTGATTGACATATAAGTTCGCTTGATAAGTTGGAGTAAGCTGAAAATGGACTTCACTCAGCCACATTCAGAGGTGCCCCTAATGGACAGTGGTGAGGGGAAATTCTCCCACTGGGCTGAGTTTTGAGCAGTATACTTGGCCATCTCCTTTGCGTGAAGGGAGAAATAGCTTGAGGTAAGAATATACATAGACTCTCGGGCAGTGGCAAATGGTTTGGTTGGTTGATTGGGCCTGAAGGGAACAAATTTGGAAGATCAGAGACAAAGATGTGGAGGGACCTACGGGAGTGAGCACAAAGTGTGTGGAGCTTTCTCGCTCATATTAATGTCTAGCAGAGATCATCCACTGCAGAGAATGCTCCCAACAACCAGAAGGGTGGGATGATTCATCCTATAGTTGTCAGCCTGTCTCTCTTCTCCACCACTCCACTCCTTGCTCAGTGGCTCCATGAATGCTGAGTCTATGGTTGACAAGATGGACGCTCTGCTCTTACCAAAGCTGATATAGCCACTGCCACTGCTGAATGCCTGACCTACCATGAGCAGAGAGCAACACTGAGGTCTCAATGCATTGCTGAAGAGGAGAGCCAGCCACTTGGAACTCTTCTACCATGGAAAGGGCAGCAATTTTTCTTTCCTGGAATTGACAGCTACTTCTGATGTATGTTTGCTTTCACTGCCTGCAGTGCCTCTGTCAACAGCTGGTTTTGTGTGTGTGTGTTAGGAATATTAGCCCTGAGCTAACATCTGTTGCCAATCCTCCTCTTTTTGCTGAGGAAGATTGGCCCTGGGCTAACATCCGTCCCCTTCTTCCTCTATTTTATGTGGGATGCCTGCCACAGCATGGCTTGATAAGTGGTACGTAGGTCTGCGCCCGGGATCCGAACCTGCGAACCCTGGGCTGCCGAAGTGGAGCACGTGAACTTAACCACTACGCCACCAGCCCAGCCCCAATGTCAACAGCTGTTTTAATCACCTCCTATTCACCCTATAGATGAGGGAGTGATCCCCATCCTATGGTTATGGGGATGGCCAAATTCACTACACCTGACCCTGGACAGGTCAGATAAACAGCAGTTTATTAGTCATATAGGCTCACGGCCTGGGGGAGGAGGACATTGCATGTCACACAGGGCCACACAGGAGTTTCACTCAGGAACAGAGTAAACAACCACGAGCTGTAGGAGGCGGGCTTTGCAGTATCAAGAGGATAGAGTGACCCTTGGTTCCCACTGGAGGATATGATTAGCTTGTTTGAATAATCCTGTGGGCTGGAAGAGAACTGAGACCAGCTGCTGAGGCACAAGCAGAAATTGTGCCTGGTTCCCCTACTACGGAGGACTGTTTGGCTAGGGGACCTCATCCGTGGGAACAGAGTGGGGAGGGGAGCTTGTGGTTAGACCATTTAAGGCTCTCCCAGTTTCAGATGTCAAGGCAGCACACAATATTGGGTCTTAATTGTAGGCCGTACACAACAGCACCATCAGAGGTTTTACAAAATGCCTACCATACCGATGTGGGATCTTTCATAACATGACCTTACAACACAGGAGTGCTGAGGCAAAAGAAGTTCAATAACAGGCCATGAATATGAGATCCATTGATATAATCACATTATTTGGAAGCAACTAAGCTGTTCTCTTAGGGATGATATCTGTGGGGTTGGAATTCTGTTCTCCAGGATGTATTATGCATCCAGTGCATTTAATTCAATGGCCAGCATTATCTCCAGTAGCTAGAATGTCGCCAGTAGCTAGAATACACAGGTCTGGGAACACAGAGGTTGAAATGATTGACCTTTTCCACAATTACTTGCAGAGAACCACTTGAGAAATATGTGCTTCCTTCACCTGAAATCTTAGGCTCTGCTGGATTAGAGGCCCTGGTTCCCATGGGAAAAGGGGATGCTTCCACCAAGTGATACAGTAAGGTTTCCACTGAACCTGAAGCTACAACTACCACTTAGTCTTGGGGCTGTTCATGCTGCTACACCAGTGGTCAGAGAAGGGAGTGACTACTCTGGTGGGAGAAACTGACCCCGCTTATCATCAGGAGGTCAGGTTGCTGCTACACAATGGAAAGACGGAGAAGTATTTTGAAACTAAGAGGATTCACTATGGCACCTCTTGGTGCTTTCCTGTCTGTAACGATGTGAGTGGAAAATTGCTGTAGTCACAGCTTGACAAAAGCAAGGCTGCTAAGGGCTCAGATCCCTCAGAGAGGAGGTCTGGTTCATTTCACCAGCCAAGAACCAGTTTAAGTGCTGCCTCAGGGTGAGAGAAATCGAGAATGGGTGGTGGAATGAGACGAATGAATATTCGGAATGGCTTCAGATGCAGTTGCAGCAGTGGGGACTGTGGCTTCTTAAACAAATAGGTCCCTAGTAGAGATTGCGGCCAGCCACCACTTTGAAGATTGGTGATGGATTTGGCTTAATGTGGAGCAGGAGCTGGTCTGAGTGGTGCAAGGAGTAGAGTGTCTCATATGTCTGGTGCCCCCACATCGCGTTCTCTCAGCTCAGCTCTAATTTCAGCTGCAGCGAACAATTCTGTGCAAGCTCCGACTCATCGAGAGCTCCTCTGACGCTATGAAAACCTGCTGGGCCCACACACAAATGCAGCCGGGAAGTGCAGGGTCAACGTCCTCGGGGGTAATCATTAATCAATGGAGAACAGGAGCCAGTTGATAACTGCTCCCACCGCTTATCGTTCAGGCTGACAATTCTGGGAGGTAGTGCAGATGCTTCTCAGGTGGTCCCAGAGAAATCAAGCCCCCAGTGCTACAACACCTACCTTGATAACTAACTCTAACTCTAACATTGGCACATTCTCCCTCATTCCTTACTTCTGCTGCCTGGGTGCACCTCCCAAATAAACTATCTGCACTGCACACAAGTCCTTGTCTCAGGCCCTGCTTTCCGGAAAACCCAAGTTAACACATATAAATAAATAGATAGATAATATAAAATCTCAGGCTAGGGAAATAAAAAGAAATATGGGACCTCCAAGTATATTCCTCTTACCATTCATTATTTCAAAGGTCAGATCTCCTGAGTCTGCATTCTTTTTTAAAGTGCATAAACTTGTCAGCTAACATTCATCCTTACCAAGCAAGAATAAGTAGATAAACACTAGCTCTGAGGGGCTGCAAATTCAGCTGCAGTGTATATTATATGCAAATACAGTGTTTCATGGCGGGCCTCAGCTGTTCAGGACACGCCTTCCCTTAGAACACACCTGCCATATTTAGCAGAACCTGCCAGGGTATGGTCTGCAACTCTCAGGTCTGCTGTGGACTTCTAAATTGCTTTCTTCAGCCCTTTCAGTCTCCAGAACCCCTTAGCCTGCTAAGCTAAGCTCCAGGTACGAGCTACTAGCTAAGCTTCAAAATCACTGTATTAGTCTGGAAAAGTTAATGCACTCTAAAGCACTTAATTTTCTCCGAGGGAGTCATCTGCTTGTTGGTAGGAAACAGATGACTAAGCAATCATTATCAACCCCATGGGATAATTCTAGCATAGGAGAGCAAATAATCAGAGGACAACATGTACTATAAAACTTACTTATTGTGAAATAAAGGAGGCAAGCAGCATTTTACCTAATATTAGAGGACAAATAATGACCTCACTGATCACTCTGTTATTAGTGTTATATGTTTCCCCTGGACACGATAAGATTTCTTTTCTGCATTTCATAGTAAATATTTCAGGCATAAATCTTAAGTGAGAGATTCAAATGTTGTCATTCGCCTTGACACATCATTTTGTTTCCATATATTCACAAAAATATTATCTCTTAAACTGTGATTACAAACACCTTGAGGCAAAAGAGTGTTTTCAGGGACAGCCCTGGTGGCCTAGTGGTTAAGTTCAGTGTGCTCTGCTTCAGTGGCCCAGGTTCAGTTCCTGGGCACGGACCTACACCACTCGTCTGTCAGTGGCCATGCTGCGGTGGTGGCTCACATACATAAAAAAAGAAGACTGGCAGCGGATGTTAGCTCAGGGCAAATCTTCCTCAGCAAAAAAAAAAAAAAAAAAGAGTGCTTTCACTTTAATTAAAATACAAATCAACACATCAATCAACATACATTTATTGAACATACCTTACAGAGAAGGTACTGTCCTAGGCATAGCTGAGTGCAGAAATGAGTGTAAGACCTGCTCCCTGTTTTCACAGGTCTTAGAAAGCTCTCATTTTATTCATTCTTTTAGCATTAGATGTGTTTACAATAAAGAATTATATTAATAGAGCTTAAGAATTCCAACTGCTAGTTAAGAATCATATTAAAAAAATAGAAAATTTCCAGAAATTATTTAATATTTCTTTAGTCTAAGACTTTTAGCCTTTTTCAAAATAGAAATTTAAGTATGTTGCCTTCACAGTGAATTTACTGTGCTAAGATTTTCATTCAAATGACATATCTCTATTTGAAGTTTTAATACAGTTATGCATAAACCAAATTCCAACTTCTGAAGAAATGTCTCATTTTTTAAAATCACTTAAACATTTTCTATAAACCATGTACTTGGGTCTCTATATCAGTAAGAGTGATGTCAGATTCTTGGTCTACTCTTGAGATAACAAACACACCATTTGGACAGTTGCTTGAACTAAGTCCTAAAACAAAGTTAGGCAGTGTGTTTTAGCAGAGCTCAGGTCTAGGTGCTGCCAGGCTGGTGAAGGGGGGCAGTCACTCCTCCAGAAAGCCTGGCCCTTATTAGGCCCAGCAGATGTCATTTTCTTCGTTTAAATTCAATTCGGCATTGTCCTTCTGGCTGCTGGACACCCACCAAATGCAGAGGACTCTAAAAGCAGAAATGCAGAAGAAATATAGAAATTAAGAGACATAAGCCAACAGTTTTAGACCTAAAGTTTATTCAACTGTAATTATCTCTAAAAGGTACAGAGTTTAGGTTTGAAAGATTGGAAGTGTTTGCTTGATGCATTTCACATTGTCAAGCATCAGTTCTAGCCTTCCATTCAAGGAACAGAAAAGGAGGCAAATTCCTTATTTTAATAGCAATCTCTTCACAGTTTCACATGTCCCAAGGCTATGGGCCTGCCACTCACCCTTCACTTTGTCTGGCTAAAGAGGATACCACAAATAAGGCTCTTTCTGCATTTCTTTCTTTTTTATTTTTTTGTGAGGAAGATCAGTCCTGAGCTAATATCCATGCCAATCCTCATCTTTTTTTGCTGAGGAAGACTGGCCCTGGGCCAACATCTGTGCCCATCTTCCTCCACTTTATATGGGACGCCGCCACAGCATGGCCTGTCAAGCGGTACATCGGTGCGTGCCTGGGATCCGAACCCGGGCCGCCAGCAGCGGAGTGCGTGCACTTAACGGCTATGCCACGGGGCCCTCCCCTCTTTCTGCATTTCTGTCCCCAGAGCTGTGACATCTCATTTATAATTGCTGCATAAGACCTCTTTACCACATGTTATAGATGTTGGTAGTGTGAACCACCATTACCATGTACCTAAGATCATAAATTTCCAAAAGGATATTTTGTGGGTTCCAAATGTTCTGATATGTCCTAGCCATGAACAAGGGATGAATGTGTGTGGGGTGAGGGGAGGTCAGTTTACTGAAAATAATACAAACAGACTGCTGAGTCTTAGGAGCTTGAAAAAGAAAAGCAACTGTGCTGTCAACCTTGAGGGCTGGGGGAAGATGAGGAGTAAGGAAAGAGGCAGTCAGTCCAATCTAGACCATCAGTCTGTTGTCAGGTTGGAATGCCCAGGGCACAGAATGGGCTCCTTAGCAAGGAGATTCTTAGTGGAGTTGATAAAATGAGGTGCAGGGTTTCCGTGGACTCCCTGAAATTGGATCCACAGTTGTACGTATATAAAGAGGTATGTTCTTTTCTAGAAAGGGAATTCATAGGTTTGTGAGATTTTCTAAGGATCCATGACCCCCAGAAAGGCTAAACAGAACAAAACCAACCAACAAAACAAAGAAAACCCCACTGTGTTAGCAAAAATGGGCTTGCTTTTGCAAGAGAGTTGAAGGTGGTTTTCTTAAGAATCCTCAAAAGGGAATAGCCCCCATTGCAAGCATCTGGACACTGCTACCCAATCACGGATCCTGGGAAGCTTTGTGATATTTCTTTATTATTTGGTTCTAAATGAGAGAGAACTGAAATTAAATTAATTTATTAAGACTCTTTGAAGTAAAATTAAACACTGGGCTGTTGCAAATAAAAACTGGGGATTCTAGCATTTGATTTATGCTACTAGAACAAGTATACTTCTTTGGGGGAGCTGATTTCCAAGCCCAGTGATCTCCCTGCACTTGACTAAAGAGTGTTCAGAACATACCCTGGCAACCCAGCCCTCCCATCTCCTACAAGAGCTTGGTAATTTGAAGGTCATTTCCTGCATTTTTTTGATCACCTCATTTTACAGCTTATTAAAAAAGGTCCAATAATTAAATAATTTTAATCGATCTTTCTCTTTCTAGAATAAGAGTTGTGAAATGAAATGCCCTTTGAGATTGTAAGAATTCACTTAGACCTTTCCTTTTTACAAACTGAGATGATATTTCTTTAAAAAATGTTCTTAGTAGTGTCAAAACTGAAATATGACGTATGCAGAACAGTATAGTAAATACAATAGAATTCTTAGCTAGGAAGAAAGTGCTGGGCAAAATCTTGCCTAAGGAACTGGTCAAAATTACTTATCTCTAGGGTTAGGTGTTACACAGTTTTGACAAATGTCATCCTAATCTGAAAAGGCATTCCTGCGTCCTCTTGCTGGTGAGAAAACAGTTGGATGCTGAATCAGTTCTGGGCAAAATGGTGACATCTAACTTGGTGCACCAGGAACTAGTATTTGGTGAGTGAAAGCCTGGCCCTGATCTTCACTTTGACAACAAAACTATACTTGGCTGTGAACCTTTGTGAAGGGTGTTTTGATTCCCTTTCATTGTAGGATTTTTAGGGCTCTTCATCACTGATAGTTACTTGTACTCAAAACAGAAGTGCAAGAGACATACAGCAACTAGAAGGATGTGCAACTATGACAGACAACTATCTATTGGGGCTTTGGGGAGAAAAAGGGAAAAAAAGGAGGAGGATTGGCATAGATGTTAGCTCAGGGCTGATCTTCCTCACAGAAAAAAAAAAAAAAAGTGCAAGAGAAATCAAGGGAAAGTGCTGAAGTGTGCATATTTGTGAGTAATATAATACTGTCTGTGTCACACACATAATTTTTATTGAAATGTCACCCAAGAGTGTTATTTATTCCTCCATACTTATTATATCTAGAATAAATCAAAGCACAAAATGCCATGTGAATAGCCCTGAGATTACAATGCTTTATTCTGAGCTTTACCCTCAGTTTAAATAGAACTTTTTATTCAGAGTTTTCAAAATAACGTCCAAACATTTGGAATTAAATTGAACTTTCCCTTATTTCCTTGGACAGTGGTCCTCAAAATGTGGTGTCCAGAGGAGCAGCATCAGTAGCACCCAGAACTTGTTAGAAATGCAAATTTTTGAGCCCCTCCCTAGAACTCCTGGATCAGGAACTCTAGGGGTGGGGCCGAGTATTTTGTGTTCTAACAAGCCCCCACCCTGGTCACTCTGATGCTTGCACCAGTTTGAGAGCCACTGGTCTAGGAGAATAGACCTATAGAAACACAGAGGAATAAATGATTGGAATATTCAACGGTCAGAGGTAGGAAAAGGTCATGGCCTTTTCATGTTTGTTCACTGATTTCACTGCTGGGTTAGTTTTCTTCCATGCCATTGCTTTCCAAATGGACCAAGGGCTATGACTTGACTCCAATACTGATGGTTCACTTTTAGACCCACAGACATGACTTTCTAGGAAAACAAGTCCAACATCAAGGCCATGTTATTTGACCCAGGGAAAAGGGTTAAAGTTCGGAAATTCCTTGAGGAGCTCCTAACACTGAGTGGTAGAAACACTGCTATTAGGTCCCGGTCTTGTGGTAATGGGGCACATAAATTAGATCCGGAATTAAGGGAGTGTCTTCTCAGTCTGGTTCATTGTTAAGATCAGGCCTAAGTGAAAAAATCAGTCAGCTCATCCCTAGTAATTAAAACCAAGGGGTTAGAGTTTATATCAAATTTGAAAGTCATACTATTCAAAATTCTGAAAACACTTACCTGTTTTGGCAATGGGTCTAGAAGACTACAGTCATAATAATAAAATATTAAAATAACACATATTTGAATCTTTAACAGAGCAAACCACCTGAAAGAAAAATATAAAATTGTTACTTGGTGTTAAAAGATGCATAAATATCTACCAATAGAGAATATCCAGAAAGTACACATATTTCAAAGCAAATATGCTCTTCTTTGTAATATAAACTTTTACTATTAAAAGGATAAGTAAAGAACTTACTCTTTTCTTTTATAATGCTACTCCATGGGGTAGGTAGGATGATTCAATTGCTTAAAAATATATGTAAAATGCTTAGCCAGTGGAAGCACTCAATAAATGAGAGCCCGGTCTCTCTCCTGTTTTAGATCTGTTCTTTCTAACCTGGTAGCTATTAGCTACACGTGGCTATTCAAATTTAAATAAATTAAAGTTAAACAAAATGAAAAATTTCAGTTCCTCAGTTGCACTAACCATATTTCAAGTGCTCAATAGCCATATGTGGCTACTGGATACCATATTGGACAGTACATGTTTAGAACATTTCCATGATCACAGAAAGTTCTGGGAAGTCTTGTCTGATCTAGACCTTTATCGCCCACTGGAAATTACTGCCTAAATGTTCTATAGGCACCTCAAATTCCCCATAATTACCAAATTTATTCATTGTTTTGTAATCCTTCACTCAGATGTCTCCAAGCTTTTTGCTCATACACTCCAACAACAAAATATTTGAGCATATCCTATGATATATCGATATTCATTTATTTGTAAATTATATACACATACTACTGCTATCAGTTTATTGTCTACTTTGTAAGACACAAACAGATATTAAAAAACTGAGAAAAGTGTAAATGGAATTCTGTTATTTTTTCTTGCATCCCAGTGGGTTGTTTTGAGCTTTCCTCAGGGTAGGCAAACCCTTTTAGGGGTTATAGCCCTTAATGAATGCACTTAGTTGAAGAGGTCAGAAAACTGGAAGTCATCGTAGACTCAATCTTGTCCATCATCCTCCATATCTAATTAGGCACCAAGTCCTTTTGTTTGGTCTTTTAACTACTTCCCAATCCCTCTCCTTATCCCCTTATCTCCAGCCCCTCCACCTCTCCCTCAGTGTAGTTCTTCATCATTTATTGTCTGGATTACCAAATCAGTTTAGCTTCCAGATTCATTTCCTTCTACTCTATCCTTCACTCTACCACTGGAGTGAACTTTCTAAAACACAAATCTACCACTGTCTCCTCATTTTACACATACACCCACTCTGTCAATGCTTCCCATTTCCTTCCAAATGCCATAGGAGAGCACAGCCAGCCCTTGAAGATCTGCTCCCTACCTATCTCCCCAGCCTCTTCTCCCTGATAGCTCCTCCTTGAAACCTGTGCTCTTGCCACACTGTGTATACCTGACGTTCCCTCAATGGCGATAGTCTCTGCTGCAAGCCCTTTCCCCGTCTGAGGCTCAGGCTCCTCTGGAGGCATTCCCTGATCACTTGCTTCTGGGCTGAGGTGCCCTTCCTCTCCACTTCTATGGCTCCCTCAGCCACACAGCCACAGCATCTACTGCACTGAATTGCAATTGCTTATTAGCCATCTCTCTTCTAGAGGAGGAATTGTATTGTTGGACCTTAACACAGAGCATAGCACACTACTGGTGTCTAATAATGTTAATGGAATAAGTGAATAGATGATGGAAGGTGATACCTTCCATAAAGCAGATTCAATTTCCTGCCCTTTCCAGCCTTCTTTGTTTCTGTGGCACTTTACACATCCCTTAACAAATGTCCTTATCCTACAATCCTACTATATTACAGTTAATCATTTGCATGAGTGTCTCCTCTTATAGACTACATTTCTACAAAAACCAGCAACCATGTCTTATTTATCTTTGAATCCTCAATGTTTGTTGATTGAATGAGTGAATGAATATGAATAATCTGATACTCATACTAGATAATTAGATTTGTTTTCCACTGGTATTCTTGAAACATCTTGACTATATTTTATTTCAAATGAAATCAGGAGCACTCCAGGTGTTGTTATAACCCACTTGGATACCACATCAATTCTTCACGAACATTTATGATGCAAATTTAACTCTACTTACTCACCAATGCTCAAGATAATGAATTTCAACAGAGTATCAATGTCTATGAAATAGAACACACCCAATCTTTATGATTCAGATCAAATTAAGCAGCGATTCTAAGAAAGAGCAATTCTGCTAGTTTGTGTGCAGGTTCAGAATTTCTCACAACTAAGTTTTCATCAAACGTCTAACAAATTAAAACTTCCACTTCTGGCCATGAGGAAGTAACAGAAATCAACGTTATCCTCTCACCTTAAATAACTCAAAAGCTGGGCAAGATCCACAGTGGGAGATGAAAAGCCGCACGAGAAAGGAAAGGAAGGAGGTGAGCCCCAGGACCCCCAGCTTCCCGCCCACGGCAGTTTCCAGGCCACGGCACAAGGAGCGGAAAGCCCACACAGACCCGACAGTCTCACTAGATTACGGAGACAGAGGTCAGAGTTCAGGCAAGTTAAAGAGACTAGACCTTGCAGGGAAGAATATCAGAGAGGAGGGAGTTTCAGAGAGAGAGCAAGTCTGCTCCAGGGGTCTCCTTGAGTATTTGGCTGAGTACTGATCTCTGTGAGAGGAAACTGCTGAGGCTGGAGAAGGAAGATGGAAAGAAAGCCATAGAGCAATAAGCTGAATAATGAATAGAGGGTACACACACATGGAAGTCTGTGTCCCACAAGCAAGAGTGGAAAGATCTTGCAACACATAGACTATTGAGTAGAGTCCTTAAAAGGCTATTGCCTTAGTGGGGGATTATATTATCTTAAACTAAATGCCACTCTGGGTGTACCTTAACAAAGCTTAACAACAAAGTCTGAAAACTTGTTTTTCTAAGCAACTAACTACATGCTATAATAAAGCCTAAAACTGAAGAAATACAATAAAATCTAGTATCCATGACACTTAAAATTCCTATGTTGCATCTATTCAAAAATTACCAGACCTAGAAGAAACAGGAAAACATGACACATAAGCAAGAGAAAAATCACTCACAAGAACCAGACCCAGAAATGACAGATACTGGAAACAGCTAATTAAATATACTTCACATGTTCAGAAAGGTAGACGCATGATGAAGAAAGAAACAGAAGATATAAAATATGTCAAGTTGAACTTCTAGCAACATAAAACAATATCTTAAGTGAAAAATATACTGGAGTGGATTAATAGAAGACAAAACACTGCAAAAGAAAAGATTATGGAACTTAACAATGGAAAATATGCAAAATGAAGTACATAGATTAAAAAGGCTGAAACAAGAAATGAACAGCGTATCAGTGATCTATGATATAATATCAAGCAGACTAACGTACATGTAATTTGGAGATGCAGATAGGTGGGCAGAAAAAATATCTGAAGAAATAATAGGTGAAACATTTTCAAATTTGTGAAAACTATAATTTACAGATCCGAGAAGCTCAATGAACCCCAAACAGAAGAAACATAAGGAAAACCATACAAAGGCAAATCACAATCACATTGCTAAAAAACAACGACAAAGAAAAAATCTTGAAAGCAGGCAGAGAAAAAAGACAATAAATAAAGAAAAACATAATTAAAAATGGTCATAAACGTCTCATCAGAAACCGCAAAAGCCAGAAGACAATGGACCAACATCTTTAAAGTGTTGAAAGAAAAAAATTAACTGTCGAGGTATGAAGAAAAGGAGCTAATATGGTTCTTTATAATAATGCACTAACTCTACTGTGACAGAGGCCAGTCTTGATAACTTGGGGGTAAATATTTAATTTCCTCTTTATAGATTTGGATTATATCATCTTATAGGAAAACAAGATGTTTGTCTTTGGGAAAATATGTGAAAGACAGAAAAAGAAAGAGATGTTGAAATGACAGTTAACCATTCAGTACAAAATTTGTAGAATTAACATTTAGACATATCTTAAGAGAACTGAATATGGTGCGCCTTAGGACTTGAGTTCCTTAAAACATTCCATTGTTTTGAGGAACTCAAGTCCTAAGGACAATCATGGACAGTCCTGCTGAAAGCTCCCAGTGTTATTCCATTCTCAGACTTTGAGAAATGTTCTAATGGAGGAAGGGAGATGGCTCCTGGAGTGAGATCAACTCCTCAGTGGTGGGATGAAGCTAAGAGGAGGGTGGCTGCTCTGCAGCTATTTTGCAAAAGAAACAAGCACAGCCTCGTGTACAGGAGTAAACAGTTAGGAATAGAGGACCTGCTATGAAGTGCTCAACCTAAATACTTTTCTCCTGGACAATGAAAAAGAAATATTTTATGTATAATTTTAATAGTTCCCTGCCTACACAGTAACTTTTGTTACCTCAAAAATTCAGATAAATCTGATGCACTTACACTGTCTTGTGTGACAGTGCAGTGAAGAATAGAGATGATAAAATGGCAGGAAGCATGAAGAGCCTCATATGTACCCCACTGCTGGAGACAGTGTGAAAGAAACAGTGTCCCATCTTCAGTGAGGAGCCGGGGGTGCAGCAAAGATCGTACAACACGAAGGGTCAAATTTGAAGTGGACAACTAGGGTGTGGATGTAAGACACCTGCCTCTGCCCCCCACTCCCCCTGGAAGACAGTGATATTTATGGGAACAGTGAACAGACACTTAGGTTACACGCTAGGAGTTCTTACCATAAAATAAGATCTCCATTCATTCATTCATTCATTCAATACTTATTGTCTTCCTGTGCTTTATACTCTTCCAAGTGCTGAAGTTAAAACAACATTCATGCTCTCATGAAGCTTAAATTCTAGTAGGGAGGTAGCAAGCAGAAAATAAGTAAACCAACAAGAAATGCATATATCAAGTATGAGAATAAGTACTAGAATAACAAAAAAGACAAGGTAAGGAGAAAGAGAGCAATGGAGATGTAGGCTAAAATATTTCAGATAAGTAAGGCCTCTCTAATGAGGTGACATTTTAGCAGACACTGGAATAAAGTAAGAGAGTAAGCCAGTACAGTATTCCATTCAGAGGAATTAAAAGGCGCAAAAACCCAGAGGTTGGAGGATGAGGA